TGCCAACACTGGCTTCCCACAAGCCTCTCAACTTCCCCCACTCCTCCTGCTCTTGAGGCTGATTGGCTGGGTCACGTGGGCAGAGCCAAAAAAAGTGCCCCAATGAGCAGCTCTGTGGTCTGAAAGGGCGGGGAAACAGCCCAATGAGCATCACCACAGAGGAGCCAATCAGTTGGCAGCTAGAAGTTTGCTGGGGCTTCTGTGAGCCAATCATTAGCTGGCAGCTGGAAGTTTGCTGGCAGCTGGAAGTTTGCTGGGGCCCCTTCGGCTGTGGCTCTCAACAGAAAAGCAATGAAGATTACAAAGCAAAGTTCAAATTCAACTTCAATAGAAAAAAAAGGCAGAAAGAATGTCAGCCTTACCTAATTTTAAGGTAGAACAATTCAGTAACACAAAGCACTACTTAGAATGTATTTCAAATCTTTATTTTAAYCAGTGCAAGGGGAATAAGGAATAAAATGAAGTGATTAATATGGGAAAAGAAGAAATACAAGAGTTATAAGAGGAGAGAAAGATATGAAGACTCAAATAGAACGTTCCCCTGAGGTGAAGAGCCTAGAGGGATGGGCAGAGTAGGGGAAGACTAAAATAAATATATTTAATAAATGAATTAAATAAATTAAATAAAGAGTAAAAGGTTTAGAAAAGTAAATGAAATGGATGGATAGGTAGGTAGATAGGTTTAGGGGTAGGCAGATGATAGATACTGCTGACAATTACAGCATCAACATCTAATATTTTATGATACTTTTAAAAAAGTTTTCCAACTTACTTTAATTACTATTATTATTATAATGATGATGATGATTAAATGTGATTGAACTCAGGGGTGCTCAACCACTGAGCCATATCCTCAGCCCTATTTTGTATTTTATTTAGAGACTCTGTCTTAGCTTAGCACCTCACCATTGYTGAGTCTGGCTTTGGACTTGTAAACCTCCTGTCTCAACCTCTAAGCGGCTGGGATTACAGGTGTGCACAACTGCACCCAGCTATATATTATTTCTTATAATCTGTATTAATATTCCATGGGTTATATCACTGTCTCCAATTTACAGATGAAGGAAAATGTTCAGACAGGTAATGTGAATTCTCCTATATCATTTAATAATAATAACCATATGAGTAGTTGTAATAGTATCAGCAGCAATAACAGAAGAGCAGCACTTAATAATTGTTTGGCATGAATGAATCATTTCATTTAATTCACATGACAGAGCTTTGAGGTAATTATTACTATGCCTACTTTATAAATGAAGAGACTGACTCTTAGAGTTATTTAACAACATGCTCAAAGAAGATTAAGGACAGATCCAGAATTCCATCTGAGGCCATCTGACCTCTAAACCTGTCCTCTTAATAACTGCAGTAGTTTCATTTACACCTTCACATTCCTCACCTGATCTTCCTTCCAGAAGAAATAGAGAAGTTCAAAGTGTTCACCCAGGCAACTCCCAGCTTACCATGGCCCAGTTTATCACCTACCAGTCCCATTCCTCACTTTATTATGCCTACCAATTTGTTTCCCATGATTAACCCATACCCTACCCTGGTAAGGGCAAGGCCTGTGTGTCCCCAGTGGCATGGCCATCAGTCAGTCTTGTTCCTGWAATGAGGTGTGCAGATCTACTAACAGGCCTACTTTAATTTTTGAGTGTCAACTCTTTCCATATAATACATGGCTCAGTTATGTACACCAAAGAAGTTGTTCATTTAAATAAAGTGATAGAAAGGTATTCGGTTATTGATCAGATGAGTTTAAATTTAACAAAAGCTCTTTTCCTCCCCTTAACACATAACTCATCATACATTTTGTTCAGGTGATCACCAAATAAAAAGAGTTTATTTGTTTATCCCCAAAGATCAAAACATAATGAACATGATTGAAACAATATGAATATGATAGTGCAGAGTTTCCACTTGTCACTCTGATATCAGGAAAAAAAAAGATTTAGTTATGGCCCCAGCTGTACTAAAGAAAGAAGGAAAGGATAGAGTAAAAGGAGAACGAAATTTGGATATATATCTTTAATCTAGGATCCACCACTAATTTTATCTGTGAAAAAAGAGCAAGTCATTTTCCTAAMTTTCCTCAAGTGTAAAAGATGCATTAACCAATCTCCTTAACCAATCTAACATTGCTACTTTTTGTCCAGTTGGAGCACTCAACTACTATAGTGTGCTCSTGTGTGTGTCTGCACACACACATGTGCATGTTGAGAGAGACAGAGGAAGAATATAAAAAATAGAATTTAAATAATGAGAAAGAAAAGTACAAGAATGAAAAGTACACTAAATAGTCATAACCTGTTATAAATATATAACATATATATTTATGTAGCATAAACATAGAACAAAATACATAGATATATAACACAATTGTATAGATATAGCAAAACTTTACTTCAAAAATAGTTTACTTGTTAGAAATAGTGCATTTTGTTGTTTGTTTTATTAAAGAAAGGACAAATCAGAGATCTACTTTATCATGATACCTTTTTTTGAATGGGAGTCATCATCTTTTGGGACTCTTAGATTTAAGATAGAAAAGTCTTGCATTTTGAAGGCCAAAAATGTATCTGAGAAATAACAATTTGCTTCTTTCCTCATGCGATGTTACATAGCTTTCTTTAAATTGAGTGACCTTTTTTTTGACAATTGTTATCTATGTCCCTGGGTGGTAAAAGATACATATTTTACATATTACATACAAGTTCCTTTTCTGCACACAGATTAAACTTKTCACTTAAATTCCCCTTCTTAGCTGAAACTTTTTGTTGATTTATTACAAGCTAAAGGATAAAAAATATTTATGTTTATGTAATCTCAAAAGTATCTCTCTAATTTTAAAGTGATAACTACTTTCCATCATTTAATTCTGCCAAGTATAAGGAAGTGGTTTTATTCTATACCTGCAAAAGGAAGATGTCTTTTAAAAATATCTGGATGTCATTCTTGACCTCATACATTTTAAAAAATTCTATATTTCAGGCCCTGCTTGAGACTCAGAATCTTTTGCGGGAACAAATCAGAAATTTTACATTCAACTTGGGATTTTCAGGAAAATTTTACCACACAGGTAAGAAAAAGAGAATAAGTATTCTCACAAGGCTTTTTTTTTTTTGACCACTCTATTTAAAATAGTAAACTTCTACATTCCATATGTACTTCCTCTATTTTTCATATAATTTAACTCCATCTAACATACTATTTTAACCATTAAAAAGTGTTTATCACTTGAAAGGTTATGATGTTATCTAATGAACTTCTTTCTTATTATTATAATTTATGTATCTAAAATGAATAAATACTAGATGTGCTATTCAGTTAATTTTGACAAACTATACACATCTGTGTAATTCATAAGCAGATCAAATAAGGTAACAAAACCAGAGCASTGCCACCTCATACTCCCTTACAGTCATTAGTTTTCCTCAAACAGAATTATTATACTCACTTCTGATACCATCTGAGATTTGCCTCATTTTGAAATACAGGTAAAATAACTCATTTGTTACCAGTTTTTTAGTTCAACTGTTTTTGTTTCATAGATATTATTATGTATAGGTTTATTTCTTCATTTTTCATTGCTTTGTAGTATTCCATTATTTGCATATACAAACATTTCTTTATCCATTCCATTCCAATATAGATGACTGCATTATTTATAGACTTGGCTGTTTTTAATAGACCTGTTATGAAAATCTTTATACCTGTTCTTCAGAAACTTGAGTATTTTTTTTCTATTGGATATCAGCAGGGAGTGAAATTTCTAGTTGTATAGCAAACATATGATCAGATTTAACAGAAAATGACAATCAGTTTTTCAAAATTTTTTAATCAATTTATATTTTCAATAGTATCAGTGTTCTAAAATCTTGCTCTAAAGTCTTGTTAATGTTTGATTTTTCTTGTTAATTTTAGCCTTTCTAGTAGGCATATAGAAATGTCATATTATGTTTTTATATATATTTTTCTGATGTCTASCATACAAGCTTTTTTCTTATGTTTATTGTCTGTTAATATCCTTTATTGAGAAGCATTTTTTCTATTTTCTGGCTTTTATTATTGATTTATAGAAATTCTTTATGCAAGTATTATAAGAAAAATAAGAGACACAGAGGTAGAGAGGCAAGATGCAGAGGCAAAGTAGCAGAATGTTAGAAAAAGCCCCTTGTCCAAGCTGAAAGCTTTATTCATAATCAATAGGTTACATTAGGTCAGTGGCATCAGTAGTACATTATTGCTCATTGTGTCATTAGGCAGGTTACAGAGTTAGCAGCATTATGCAGCTTATTCCTCAGTTACATACTGTAGTTGTGATGTGCAAGTTAGGAGCTTTGTGTACCTCTCAAGAAAGCCCATTGTTTAAAGTTACTGTTTTGTGGACAAGTTCAGGCACAGCAGAGCTTGGTGCARCATTGTGGTTGTCTAATAAGAAATTTTGTTTATTCACAAGAGCTGAGTGCCTGAGATAAATGTTGAGTCTGAAAAGACTCTAGCACAGAGCCTCCTCATGCAGGGCATTGCTACAGCAGCTAGGCATCCTGTGTCTTTGCACAGAAATTTTCCTAGCTACCAAGCATGCCACTAAAGAAAGAAGGAAAGAATCTGAAATGGTAGAGTAGAAAAATATTTAATTTTAACATTTTTCATTTTACTTTTTCTTTCCTTTTTGCTACCTTTTTGTTTCTTCTCTAAAAAATACCTACGTATCACAGTAAAATGAAATTTTCTACAATCTTAGAATTTATAAATCAGTGATTCATCTGCAAACTGAGATATAGAATGGCTAGTTTGCTCATAGTTGCACAGCTGTTGGTACCGATATAYGATGTCTCTGCAAAATTCACAATAAACTGGTTTGAATGGTATCCGTGAAGAAGAAAATTTGGGAAATGAAGTACAAGGATGAAAATTAGTTACTTTTCATTGTTCATTCTGCATTTTACATTATACATATATATAATCCATTCAATTAAATTATGAATTAAATGATAAGTAATTTTTAAAATGACTTTATATTTAAGCACATTTTCCAGTAATTTTCCATAATTTTAAGTGCTTTTAATTTGATAATATGAATTCTTTTGTGTATAGCTAATGTGTACCTTCAAGGGGTTAACAAGATTATTATGGTGATAATTCTTCCTATTATTACATTTCTGTAATAAGTGAATTTTTACTTGTTTTCATGGAAGTTGYAATGTTGTGAGAATTGACTCTAATATATTTTATATCGCACAATATGTATTTCATCCACTATGTATTTTCATAAAACTATGTATGACTTTGCTTCTTTTTAAAAAATTTTTTTAGTTGTTGATAGGTCTTTATTTTACTTATATGGGGTGCTGAGAATCGAACCCAGTGCATTACGCATGCTTGGCAAGTGCKCTACCACAGAGCCCCAGCCCCAACCCCATGACTTTGCTTCTTAATTTGAAAATTTTCTGAGCTCTAAGAATGACCTTAACATAGGAAGCTCTGAAAGCCTTATTACTCTAATTACTTAAACAAATATATAAAAGACAAGTTTTCAAGCCATGCATACCTGTAATCCCAGTAATTTGGGAGACTGAGTCTGGAAGATTGCAAGTTCAATGACAGCATTGGCAACATAGTGAAACCCTATACAAAATAAAGTAAAAAGGGCTGGTGATGTATCTCAGTGATAGAATGGTGTTGGTTTATTTTCTTGGTAACACACACACACACACACACACACACACACACACAAGCAAATCAAAACCAAAAAATAAAAAAAATAAAATATACCCTTTTCTGTGATTATTTTAAAGATTTACTGGGAATTCCATAATCATGGTTTAACTTTCTATTATTATCGACACAAATTTCAGTATTTATTATAACCTCAAAAATGAAAACACAATGACATATTCTAAATTACTCATTTACAGTAAAGTTCTACTACCTTGGTATAGATATATAAAGTGAAAACATTTTTTTAATGTGCAAAAGTTCAGTTCATCTTTTTAGCACCACTAAATTTGCCAATGTGGATCCCCACAAACTTAAAGCAATAAAAGWGTATTATTATGAAATCTCTTTCTAAATCTATCCTAATTTCAGTGTGCTTATTGTAGATTATTTGACATCCTTTGAAAAAAATAAAAAGTTAATATACAGATAAGGAATCCCCAGAGTAAGATCAAGGACATATAGAATATGTAGTTATCAGTGAGGCAGAGAGGAAGATTTTTGAAAGAACCATAGTAGGAAACCTAGGAAAACCTAAACTCATCAAGGGAGTACAAGCAAATATTCCTGGAAACTCGATTCTCTTCTCACCAAACACTGAATGCATGAACATTATTCCACCTTTCCCTCTCCTTTCTTACTTGTGGAAGATTTGTCCTCTATTTTTTCTTTGCTTCTGCATTTCTCATAGCTCACAATAAAAGCGCCCTCTCTCTAAGCCAGGGAAAGTAAACACAGGAGAAAGCTAAGACCAAGGTTATATTTTATCTGTGTAAAATATAACAACTTACACAAAACTGTGGCCAAGGTTATCTTATGACCAGTAGAAGAATTTTTCAGTGGAAGCACATAAAATTTAATACTCTGTCTTTCAACAGTTAGATATTATAAAATTTAATTACATTGTTTCCTTTCTAAATTAATAATTAATTTTTTATTAAAAATTCTATCCTTTTACTTTTCTTGAATGTAAGGAGAAAAGCTGCACTGTCATAATATTATAAGAATTTATTTCAGGAAAAAGCGTTACTTATGTGATTTCTTTTAAATTTTGAAGGGTTTGTGCATTTTAGTGAGAAATAGAGATAGAAATAAAGATCAAACTTCTTTTATAGTGAGCAATAACTACATCCAATGTATGTTGCTAAACACTTTTCATGTACCTATTCAATGAATCCTAGGAGTTATATAGTATGTAACTCACTTTCTAGATAGGATCATAAAAATTTAGAGGTGCCATGGTCATAAATTATTAAGTATCAAAAACCTGTCTTAATCCTAAATCAGTTAGAGCCCAATTCTTATGCATTAGAAAAACTGAATATTTGTTATTTATTTGGCAACTGTTAATTAGGGAGCCAAATGGCAAAAGATTCCTTTTATCTATAGAATCTTTAGATTGACCTATTTCACCAAATCACATAGAGAAATACATATGTAAATTTATTTGCATCAAAAGTTACTAAAACATCAAAAGATTGTGATATTGAATTGAATTTTTTATCTTACTTTTTATTCCACATTTGCCCAATGAATCATAGCTGGGGCTCTGAATTTGGAATTGCTTCATTTGAATTAGAATTCAGGTTCTAGATTCAGGTTCTGTCCCAGCACTTTCAGTGAGTTGGGACAAGTTACTTTATCTCTTTAGAGACCAATTTCTTTACCTGTAAATGGGATTTAGCAATGACTCTGAGCATATAGGTTTGTTATGAGAATTAAATCAAATATGTTGTAAAAAATGTAGCTTTTTTTTTTCTTTTTTCTTTGGTACCAGTGATTGAACTCAGGTGCACTTGGCCACTAAACCACATCCTCACCCCTATTTTGTATATTTTTAGAGACAGTGTCTCATTGAGCATTCCACTATTGCTGAGGCTGGCTTTAAACTTGTGAGCCTCCTGCTTCAGCCTCCAGAGACACTGGTAGTAAAGCATATAACATTGTTCTTGGAACAAGGTAAATCTTAGTCTAGGAGATGTTTTAATATCAGAGAAGGAAATATTGCTGATAAAATACTGCGAAAAGTTTTTATAATAAATAATATAATAAATTATAATTTGCAATAACTTTTTAAGCAAGTTTTGTAAGAACTTCAGAAATGGTCTTTAAAAATTGACGAATTTGACTTCTCTGTCTTATACCTCCAGTTTGACAAGGAGGGCAGAGCTGGAGAAGAAATGGACAGCATGGTGCTGAGGCAATCCAACCATGAACAACTACATTTCAGCTGCTTTTAATCATAATGTTTGGCAATTGTCCTCAATATAATTACTTTTTATTTATAACATCCCTAAAGTGGGGTTAAAGAAAAACAGATAAAACAGAGCTATCAAGAAAAAAAGGACAGACCTACTACTATGCCTACTATGTGAGTTAAGATAAATCAGTTGGAGGGCAGACAGACATCGTTTGTCTAACCCCGGCATGATTGCAGTGTACACACATTTTACTCATAGATTCACCGTGGTATACAGGAAAGGGTAATGTCTGAGCTGTCTTTCTGAAGATCACTGAGATGTGTCACTCTGTCTTCATAAATAAATTTGAGCAAGGTCTAATTATRAAATGAGTGAAGGAGAAATGACAARATAGATTCAGGAAAAGATAGTCCTATGTAACAAGGAATGGAATGCAGAAGCACCTGGCAAGAGACTTTTTATAAACCAGGGACCCTCAGTTTACTTTACCCACAGTCATATTGCTGGGGAGATAGAGATCAGGAATAAATTGATTACTGAGAAATCCCAAGAGATTTTTTCCTATTTTCAGTGTGAAAATTGCAATGAATAACTGACTTAATCTTAAATGACATGGTTTCCTGAGGGACCCAAATGAATTATGAAATTATTTTGTTGTGACTGTATATATAACCCATGTCAAAATGATTTACTACTAGGGTTCTATCACAACTTTCCATACTTTAAATTCCAATGGTTACATTTTCTATTTACCCCCATTTTCTTCAAACTACAAATTGTACAAAGATGCTAAAAGCGAAGAGTTTTAAGGTCCTTGGGAGTGGTTATATACATCCATCTTGCAGTGGTTATATACATCCATGTCTCTTGTTTAACCATATTAAAAACTGCTTTATAACAATCCCTGGTTTTTCCCTAACAGATTTTGCTTTGTTACGTTTTATGTTGAAATCCTTATATGTATGTAAGATAGTATAAATGTAATATATGAGAATATAAATTAGATAGATAGATAGATAGATAGATAGATAGATAGTGGCAGATTAGTGTAACTGGAATTAATTAAATAATCACTTCTCCCCTAAAGGAACTGAAGAGGAAGATGAAGGGGATGACTGTCTTTTGGGGTCTGTTGATGAGTTCTGGTGGTTTCCTCATATGTGGAGTCATATGCAGCCCCATCTCTTCCATAATGAGTCATCTTTGGTGGAGCAGATGATTCTCAACAAAAAATTTGCCTTGGTAAGTAACTCATGTTGACTATTACATTGAACTAGTGTTTACTTATTAGAGAAATGACAAGATTTTTTATTGAAAATATTTTTGAGGCTCTTGATATTTTGACACTTGTTAAGCAGATTTACTATGTGATTGTTAAAAAGCTCTTGATATTGCAGGCTTTCAATATGTGGCTTTTGAGTTTGTATCSGGTGCCTATCATTATGCTAATGCATTGAGGGCTCTAATTTAAGAGAGACTTCACAAAACTCAGGACTCAGTTATATGTCATTTCAGTCAGAGCTCCTAACTCATGTTTTCTGTCTAGAAGGAGGTTTCTGCTGTGCTGGGGAGGTAGAAGTATACACATAAAACAATTATGCAATAAAACGAGATATTTCATGACTTAGTGTCAAACCTTCAATACACAAATTCATGGTTCAGAGAAACAAATGTCATTGGAAATGATGAAAGACCAGTTATTGTGGAAATGAAATTAGGAACTTCCTGCAATATTAATAGAGTTAAGTACCAAGATGAGTTGGAGTAAAATGAGGCTGAGGGAAACGACCAGGCARGTTACCATAAAGGGGATATGAGGTAATAAAGATTCTGTCTAGTAATACTGTGGAAATGAAAGAAAAATTATTGAAAGACAGTTCCAACATACATGTTATATAGATGGAACATTTGCTTGGTTGAAGCAAGATATACTGCTTTAGACTGAAGGGTTTGTGACTTGGGACCCAGTGTGGCTGGGCTGGCAGCAACAACACCACACACACACACACACACACACACACACCCACCCAGAAATACCGTTTTTGGGTGTCAGGGATGACTCTGAGACCTCAGCTCCTATGTTGGAAAGCAAAGAGAGCAAGGGAGGCAAGAGACAAGAGAGAGAGCACACCCTGAACCCCTGTTTTTATTTAGGGGAAAGGCATTCAAGACAGATCCACCCAAATAAGGCAAGGGATTGGGTTTCGAAGGGTGGAGTCTTACTTGGTGATGTATTGTGGTGGTCAACAGATTGACTGACATCTTGGAAAGCTACACTAATCTCAGGAGCTATGTGGTATCATAGGCAGAATGAGAAGGACACATAGGTCACATAGCCTAATCAGGCAGTAACATTAGGCCAGTCCCCTCATATGATCAAATGTGAATAGCTCACACATACATAGCCCATGGATGGCTCACGACAACAAGGGACTTTAAAGAAAAACTTTTAATAAGTACATAACGAGAGGAAATAGAGTTGCAAGCAGAGAAGGTACTAAAGCCCACTTATATATAATGGTATTGTATGAACTACTAGAGTCAAGAGCTCAAGTAATTTATCTCCATGTTATCTTACCCAAACTTATGCAAGAAAGGGTTAGAATTTATAAAACCTACTTCTTTTTTTTTCTCACCACTGTAGAAAATCAAGTTTATTATGTGTAGCATAAAGAGTTCATACTTGCCTTTTAACTTAAGTGTACTCCTTGTGGGGGAAAAAAAGTTTCAAAGGAAAACTTGCTATGCATTGACATTTTATTATAAAAGAAAAAATAGTGCTCATGTATGTTGATATGAAAGTATTTTGATGGTATTTGCAAACTCCTGTAAGATGGATATATTTTCCCCCAAAATATAAACAAAAATAGAAACCATTATGTAAAATTCAGCAATTACTATCATGATTTGTAATTGAGAGTACTAAAATTCCTATTTCAATGGAAAAGGTAGACATCTGAGGCTTCTAATGTTAGCAGTGTTAATTAGTAAGAGATGATGATGCAGAAAATGACTTGGTAGTTGCTTCATAAATCTGTAGTAAAAGGGAGAAAGGAATTTGTGAGAAAGGGAAATATGTAAGTACAGTAAAAGAAAGCAATAATAAAAGATAAAATAATGAGAAGAGGGAGTTTTGTTGTTTTTTCAAAGCCTTAAAAGTATCTTGTGTCAAGACGGATTTCACAAAAGATATGGCATTCACTGTTATGAAAGAAGAGTAGTATATAGAATGATAGGTGTTTGATTATTATTTGAATGAATAAATCAGTGAATGAATCAACAAATGCCAATATTATGTTCATATTTAAAATGGCTGTAAATACTTGAGTACTTGTAGTGAAAATAGGCTTATATGCATTTTTGAAAATTCCTAACTAAAAAGCATCATAAATGGAAAGAATAATTCAAAATCAGAATCTAATAATTTTTCACCTTCTAATTGCAGTATCAAGCAAAGATTTCTGACGAAAGTGATGTCTTACTGGATGTTGACAATCCAAATCATTGTTCTTGAGGCAGTCGTAAAGGATCTTTGGAAATAATACCAAATGTATTTTTAATGTTTAATCAAATATAAAACCAGTGGATGGTTGCGGGGTGTCAAGAGTAGACAGGAAAGAATACTGCATCTAGGATTAGTTGGTTCCCAGCCATAACAGCATGAGAAAAAATATATATGTTAAGTATTTGAGAACAGTGATTAGCACATAACACCCAGTAGATAACAGTTACTGTTCTTATTTATTTGTTTTTATTTATATCATTTTATTTAATATAATAATGATGCTACCTTCAATTTTTGCTTGGGATCCTAAAAAGTTTGAAGTGACAGGAGGGACAGTCTCTTTAATTTTAAAAGTTTATTTGTACTGAAATGATATTTGCATATTGTGAATTTTGCACAATTTGTGTATATGAGTTAGTTAACCCATTTACTTTTCATTTAATTCATTAAGTTTCCCAAACCACATTGCTAGTGTATTTGAGGATGTAATGAGACAAGATGAAGGGTTCTAGTTTGTTATATGTTCTATACTATTTCTTTTAATTCTCACAACAGCACTGAATTTTAGTTGTATTTATTCTCCATTTGTAGATGAGGAAAATGAGAGCCAGAGTAGCATGGTGACTCAATCAGTGATTATAAAGCTTCCTGAAGGTAGAATTAAGACCATAAAACCAAGTCTTTTAATATTACATAAATTGTGTCACCATGTCTCCAATACACAGGTATAAATCTAGATTTCTCTTCTGCCTAGTAATCAAAGAGAATATATGGTAACCTTGGTAGTTTAAGGGAAATAGAAAAGTCTAGGTGGAATTCACCTTTTCCTTTGGGTTCCCTAAAGGTTCTTATCATAGACAGATTCTAAAATGATTCAGGAGACAAACAACTGAATCTGAGGAATTTTGCATATGACTAAAGTTATCAGCAGAGAAAAAAAAATCAGTGAAAAGTTGAATTAAATTCTGTCTCAAATGTCTACTTACTAGCTGCATCAAGTAAATTATTAATATGTTAATTATTAATAATAAATTATTAATATTGCTTTTCTAAATTGGTTTATATCTTGTTTCTCTCCATCTTCTTGGAGGCTCTGGATTTCAATATGAGCATGAATGATTTCCAAAGGAGAAATTAAATGAACATGCAAAGAAGCAATGTGCTCCCTTAAGAGAATATGGGCATTCAAACAAGAATAGAGGTCATGGGTGCAATATTCAAATGGTGATTATATTAGATGACATTTAAAGTATCCTTCCAGCTAAAAGAATCTGAGACTATAATCTAAAACTCTGGTCCCCTGCTTTCACTATCTATAGCCAAACACCTGTCTCTTACATTGAGTATTAGCAAATACATCTGATTTATTATCCTTTTGCATAATGTGGACATTTCTGATTCACAAAGGAATTTGAAGTCCATTTAATTGGCTTTGAAAGCTCTGTCTAATAGCGTATTATTGAAGGTCAGACAAATCTGTTAAGCAAATTTGCATTTGATGACTACAGCCATCAAAAGAAATGTAGCACTACAACTTGCTTAGAAAAAACTTGTAGTTGCCAAATATGGGCTAATTGAGGAATTCAATTGAAATTTTAAGGGGAGACATATTTTTGAAAGGTTACCAATTCTAAGGTAAAAAATTATTATAACATTAACGATTGACCTGAAATACAGTTTGAAATATCTAATGTATAGGCTTAAAAATAAGATAAAACCACCATTTGGAAAGTAAAATAACTTTGTATTTAAACTTCAAAAATTATCAGTAATATGTAATCTCAACTGAATAATTAGTTCTGACTTTTGGCAAATAATGGTAGTTTATGTTTTATTTTTTATATTTTTAATTTATTTTGTGTTGAGGAGTAAGCCCAGAGCCTTGTACATGCAAAGCAAGCATTCTACCACTGAGATACAACCACAGTTTCTCAGGTTAATATTTAATAATACAATAATTAGTAAAGATTTTTATCATAGATTTCTTCCAATATCCAATTAATATTGTTATATACAATATTATTAGTAGAACAATGTTCCTGAAAACATAAGGTCTTTTTGAGTATTATACTTTTGATTATATTATCATTTTTAAAAATAGTGTCATTTTTCCTCCCTCTTTCCAAGTTCAGAACAACCTACTAATTTATATCCACTGGAATATTTGTTGTCAATTATACAGAGTTTTAGATTAGTGACCCCATTAACTTTTCCAATATGGGAAATTAAGTTTATTTAGTATCAAAATACAATATAAAATATTTGGAAGGCTTTCTGGCTTGAGGAATATGTGATAAATTTTCAATTAGCTTGCTTGCCAATTGGAGAAGGAATAATTCCTATAATTTTTATTTCAATAAAGCACTTTATTAAAAAGGACATTGTATTTTCATTTTATTAATGCTTAAAAAGTATAATTTTAGTGATCTGAATAGAAGTGAAGAATTCCAATCAGGATGCAGAGTCCACTCTAAATTTATAGACCACTTCATTATTCTGAGCAGAATGACCAAAGTGTATAATTTACTTCATAAAATGAATGACTGAAAGAATTTGAACAGGGCAAGAGATAGAAGAGAGGACTAAGGGACAGAGTATCAAGGCTGATACTTAAAGAATTCTGGTATGGCTGGGAGTGGCGGTGCATGCCTATAATCCTGGATACTCAGGAGACTGAGGTAGAAGGATCACAAGTTGGAAACCTACCTTAGCAACATAATGAGAAATTCAGCAACTC